AMASAAATAATATCRTMAAATTGAGCCCGCGAGATGTATTAAGCGGTAATGTTAATAATCGGCATGGTACTTCATGAATGTGATTTAATCARGACTTWGCCTATTACAATCTTCAAAAAGACACCGAAGAACTTCTACACCATTTATTAGCCTAGCACGATTCAAGATGGACGCCGAAATGGCTGAAGATAAACTTTGGGGCGAAATTCCCGAGTTCTCTTCAAATCCTACGCCTTCTGTCGAGGATGTTATCGAACCTAAAGCAGTAGAGTACGAAGTYCCTCGTCTTCATCAGCCATCGTCGGAAAGCTACCCTCCAAAAGACGAGTAAGTCAACATCATGTTCGCGACTGTCAATTTTCATTTTGTTTTTTTCTGCAGTTCTTTTTGCTTATTTCCAGCTTTTAAATAGGGAAAAACTTGGAAAAAAGGGAAATATCAAATACAATCGGATTGTCAAATAGTGAACTATAAACAACAAGTCTGGTTTAGTTTTGGAACTTACATTGCTCTTTCCTTCAGGTTACCAACAGAATTTCTTCCGAGCGTTAAGTGCCCTGTTGATAAGCATAAACAAAAYCTAATGCTGCACTCCATCGAGCTTCAGTATCACAAGCGTAGAATGAGACTTGTACTAATGGCTGCACAACACCAACAAGCGGAAGCAGGAGTAAGTTCATGTTCATTGAATGTTAATTCASCATCTTTGGGTAGCATGTTTTCCATTGTATTTTTCATTTAAGTCATTTAAGGCTGTTTGCAACTCACTACTGCCTCCCCCTTCCCCTCCCTCCATAAAGAATCATTAATATTTTTTTTTTTTTTTGATGCAGAAATCAGAGAGTAATGATATCCATCAAACTCTACCAGCRCAYCCACCCAGACCAAGTAGATTTTGTTCCAGCCAAGGAATAATAACCCCACCTACAAATTCAACATTGTTGGCGAGGATACATTCACAYCATAGGTAATGCTTAGATGTCGAATAGATAGTGTTTATTCATTTGTATGAATCCATTGATTCATTCATGCATTTGTCTATTTATTCATTTTCACATCTATCCATCCATTTAYTCAGCCATCCATTTCATTCAATTTTTTCAATTCCCTTTTTACTCTAAGGAAGGAACATTGCACAAAACATCAGTAACTTTTTTCTCATATTTTATTTTATAGTTTACTAGGATCATGTCATCTCACCTATACTTCCATTCATTCCTCCATTTTTCATTCATATCTCCATTCCCTGTTTTTACTTTCTAGAAGGACCAGTGCATAAACAGTCAATGAATCTTCTCTTATATTTTATTGTATAGTATAATGGTATCAAGTTACATTTGCATCCCACCTATCCAACCATCCATTCATTTTTTCATTCATTATTTCATTTTTCATTAATTTTTCATTGTGATTACATCTTGTCCTTGTCTGCAGTGCTAGTGATAGTCTTCCAAAACTAAGCTACCCACACCTTGACAGTGCTTCAAACAGGCAGCTTTTACTAAGATCTGTGGCTTCAATTTGTGCCTTTTCAGGATTTGAAAGTAAGTGAATGACTCAATGAAATTTAATACATAACTACTCTCAAAATAAATTTACAGCATTTTGTATTTCATGTATGARTGGCTCAAGTAGTTTTTAATTTTGTTTGCTTATGTCTTTTTTGGTTATTCTAGTGTGCAATGAATCAGCTCTTGAAACTCTAACAGACRGTTTACATGACTTTATTACTCGCTTGTGTAAAGTACTTCGATCAGCAGTTGATGACGAAGCAAGGACTGGTCATACACCTTTCCCGGTAGGTATATTTAMAGCTGACCATTGACCCAGGTATCCCTTCATCCATATTTCTGGCCCGTATCCTATTCATTGCAGAATCCGTCCTCCCAGCCCAGCATCATACMCTCACACATTTACATTGCATCAAAAAACATTCATTGCTCTATCAACCCACCAGCCTGTCAGTGTCAATCAAATGTCACTTATGYCAAGTGTCCATCCATCCATTCATCCATCCATCTTCCCATTCATTTCCAATTCCTTTACTGATTCACCCATCTTTTCATCAATGCTACCATCTTTTCTGTTTATCTCTTAATACCTTCCTCAATTTTTCAATTGAACAATAAGTCACTGTAKTGTCTCACAGTATTTCCATTGAATGAATCRCAGGATGTTCTTGATGGCGCCTTACATGAGATTGGTCTTGGAGGAGCTTCAGCTGTTCAAAAGTACTGGAAAAACACCATTCAAGATTATGCTTTGCGTTTACAAAGAGAGGACAATTTGCTGATCCAGCAGTACCAGAAACTATCAGTATGTAACATTTAGTTGATTTTAACAGAAAAGKTTATTGAAGAGGATGGGTCAATCCTTATTTGTGGCTTTTTTTGGAGATGTGTGTCTACACCTTTTTATTCAAAAATCATTATACATGTACCCAGTTACATTGTATGGATTAAGAGTCAGCCACATTCTGRTGTTTTCTTGTTGACAAAAGCAGTGGATTTTTAAACAGATCATGCATTTAAAGGTAAAAAATATTAAATGATGCCTTTATTCATTTTTGTTTTGTTTTATTGAAGGATCCTTCATTGAGAACTAGATACCATGAAGAAACAACACTAGCACCTGTGTGAGTGAACATTGTTTTCTTTATACTATCTGGCATCTTGTGTTGACTGAGTRTTGCTTTTATCTACTGATTGAAGTCATAGTTTTTTTTTTCTCATTTGTTTTTGTTGACACTGGAACCCTTGCCAGGAGTCAACTGGCTAAAWTATTCAGAATACTTCATACTCATACAATGTGAGAGAGATTGATTAGAGATAGATAGCTTTATTAAAATCCTTTGCAGCCGTAAAGCTGAATAATGGACAATTACAAAAAATAAACAATAAATATAATAATGTACGAATGTTAAAGATTGAAAAATTGAATTACATAAAAAGCTATGATATAAATATATTATATAAGATTATTGAACCAATGTGTCAAAGTAGACTGAGCAGAAATCTTTTCTTTTATTCTCACTGCACCTTGATRCCTTGGTTCACTGTTTTGATTGTCATTTAACCTATGACATGGAGAGTCCATGAGCAAATCAGCATTAAGTGTGTTTCTATCACGCAGGAAAATTGAAGAAGATTTGGAGGGGAAGTATTCATCTTCTGCTGCCTTCAGAAGACTTTCAACAGTAAGATAAACAAATGCTTTTTTGATATGCTTTATTGATAATTGGAAAATTAAACGAGATTTACTTGTAAGTTGAAGTTTGATTATAAATGTTGATTATATGAAATGTTGAAATGTTAAGTGATGATTGTATAAATTATACATAAACATTTTTGGTTTATATAGATTATTGTTCAATACAAAAATATGCAACGCTGATATGTATATTATTTTTGTATTAACAGAGTGATCAAACCTCAGAAGGATTATTGAGGTATTATATTTAGATAATATAGCAGAATATAGCAGGTTTTATGCCATTGATTTGGTACTGTATAGGAGATCCTAAGTGGAAAAAAGATAAAAGTTTTAAAGTCATGTCTGTTTTGATTTTAGTCCATATGGTGTGCCTTCAAATGGAAATGGAACAGGTCAGTAGATTAGTGTTTCTAATAGAAACATGATGGCTGCAGTACTAGTATGATGGTTGTTTTAA